TGAAATAGCAAGACCGCGACCTAACTAATGTATAACATGTGAAGTAGAATGTTACTTGGCGTCGTAGCCTGTGTATGTTTATAGTGTGAGGGCAGTTCGAGGGGAACCTCTGTGCCGTCGAGACGCCCATACCATTCTGGAATCAGACCAATAAGCTGATATTCTGACTGTTCCCGCAATGCGTATGTATCCAATATTTGTAGGAAGTTCTTATTATATAATCTAATGTCTAACGTGTGCTGATATTTAGTGGCTTTGTATATTGTGTGCATTTGTACAATCGATGTATTATTTAACAGGTTTGACCGCTACTGAATAAACCTTGAGCGAGTGCTACGCAGTGGTATCAGTCACCCCAGACCCATCGACAAAATCATAGGCGTGCTCCGGCGGCCACAATATATATATATATATATATATATATATATATATATATATATATATATATATATATATATATATATGCATATATATATATATATATATATATATATATATATATATATATATATATATATGTATATATATATATATATATATATATATATATATATATATATATATATATATATATATGCATATATACATATATGTATATATATATATTATATCTATATCTATATATCAGACATATGTATACTTATATACACATATATGTGCTGTATACACAAATATATTCACACACACACACACTCACACACACATACACACACATACACACACATACACACACACACACACACACACACACACACACATATATATATATATATATATATATATATATATATATATATATTATATATATATATATATTTATATATATACACATACATACATACATACATACATAGACACGCACACATACATATATATACGTGCATACATATACACACAAATTTATCTATCTATCTATCAATCTATCTATCTATCCATATATCTATTTATCTATGCATCCATCCATCTACAGAAGCACACACACATACACACACACACACACACACACACACACAGAAAGACACACACACACACACACACCCACCCAAACGCACATATACAAATACACATACACACACACGCGCGCGCGCGCTCGCATATGTGTATGTATTTATATATACACATGCATATGTGTATGTATGTATATATATACATATACAAACACATATACATAAATATATTATTTATATATATATAATATATATAATATCTATCTATCGATTTATCTATTTATCTATCTCTCTGTCTATATATATATGGTAGAAAAACACAATGAAAACAAAGATTTATTAAAATTGAGACATCCACCTGGATTCCATTTTTAGGTTTGAAGAGGAAACGGCGAGGAGGGGATATAAAAGGCAACGGTAACACAGGGCAGATGAGGACAGACATCAACATTATTTCATCCTTTGACTGTTTCATTTCTTCTCATAGGAACTCCTTGCCTGATATCTCTCTACTTCGTGGTGCTTTCATCCCGGCCCTCGAATCTCTCCTCCGTCTAAACCCTTCCATTCCCAGACGTTATTGCAAGGCCTTTCAAAGCCTCTGCAGGAAGAATGTCACCATTTTGCTTTATGACAAGCCCTTCTACCTGCAGAAGGCCCATGACCTGTTGGATGACGCCTCTACCTACGTCCCCCTGATCAGCGACCCCCGAGAACACACTGCTGCTACTTTTCACCATCGCCTGAAAGAGTTAGCAACCTGTTTTCTGGAAACGAATCTCTACCAGAGGTTCAAGGACATCAACAGTCGCCTTCCCCTTCTCTAAAACTCATAAGCCAGCCGTGCCTCTGCCCCATCATCTCCCTCCTGGGATATGTGACTCACCCTCTTGCGACCTGGCTGGCGAAGTCTCTCACTCCCCTTCTTGGCACCTTCTCTCCTGTTCAACTCCACTACTCTCCAGACTTCATCTCCTGTGTCCATGATGAGCTTGAATGTCGACTGCCTGTTCCTTCTCAGGAGGCTCCCCGCAAAGAATCCTCGTCTCCCTCTGCCCATCGACGTCTTCCTCCAGCTGATTCGTCTGTGTGTTGAGTTTTTTCTTTGGGGGTCACTTCTACTCTCAGACGTTCGGTGTTGCCATGGGCTCTCCCCTCCCGCCAGTCTTGACAAACCTGTTCATAGAATTCTTCGAGTCTGAACTTCTCCCATCCATCTTCGTTCGTCGGTTTGGCTGAGGTATGTCGACGACGTCCTCATGACCCTGCTCTGTTCTCGGATTTCCTGACGCAGCTGAACTCTCTCTCTCCTTCCACCCATTTTAGGGTGGAATTCGAGTTTGACAACAGGCTCCCTTTCTTGGACATCGCTCTGCCGCCGACCACTTCTCCTTCTCCATATACTGGAAAACTATGCACAGTAGTATATGTACATACACTTCTCGTGTCATCCTCTCCATTAAAGAGAGGTGTTGCCACTTAGCTGTTCCTCCGTGCCCTCCGCATCAGTGACTCCCAGTACCTGGATGGAGAGATCGTCGTTCAATCTCGAA